ATCTAAATTCATTCGGATTTCAACATTACGATTCATATGTTTATGTATTTACTTTTGTTAATATCAAGATGTTAACTAATTGTCATCTTAGTAATACTCCCCAATATTAACGTAGAGGAAGAAATAACGTACTATTACTATAACTAATGTCAAAATGTTAACTAATTGTCATCTTAGTAACACTCTGAAGAAAAAGACCATGCGTATATTCCATTAAAAGAATAACACTAAATAGGTACTTTTGAAATATCTTTATTAAATATTTAAATGACTAGTGTAACCACTAGCTAGTGTCACGTTGATATGAATTAAAATAGTAAGTATCAACAGAGGCTGTGAATTATTTACAAAATTTGTTAATAACATCTTTTATGTTGAATAATGATCTTTTGACAAAGATGATTTTAAAGAACTGATGTGTATGTGTTTATTAGTACTCCCACCGCTCCTTAAAACTATGTCATCTTTTCTTTTTGGGATGTCCAAAAAACTTTGCCACGTTTTCTTATAATCAACTAATTTGTGGTTTTTTTTATTTTTCTCTAATCTGCACAAACTTCAACCACAAAGTTTTTACATTATTATTCTTCATGCCAACTGTCAAACTTGGCAAAGTTTCAATAGATGGAAGGATTACTATTATTGTTATTTTTATTGTTCTTATTATTATTATTATCATTGTTATTATTATTGTTATCATCATCATCATCATTACTATTGTTACTAATATTATTATTGTTATTATTATTACTATTATTACTATTATTATTACTGTTATTATTGCTGTTGTTGTTATTAAAGTATAAGAGCTATTCAAAATTTCTAGTCAATTAGATGTGTTCAAAATGCATTCTATTATTACTCCTTCAATCCGTTAAATTTTGTCAATTTTCCTTTTTTGATTGTCCCACAAGCTTTGTCTTTTTACTTTTAGGTAAAGAATTTAGGGTTTTAGTAAATTATGTCTTCTATACATAAACCTCAATTACACAGTATTTACTTTATTAATCCCAATCGATCATACTTGGTCAAGTTTTAAGCAATGATAGAAGGTAGTATTAATTTAGCATTTTAATAATGATCAAAATCATTGTGCGTTATATTGTTTTAAATTTGGGCCGATTTCATCCTTTTTGTTTCGCAATTTTGAATTTTATATGTATGACTTCTAAGTTATATATTTCTAGAGTTGAATTTGAGTAGCTTTTATTAGGCAATACAAACAATGATACGATTTGGGAAATTGTTCTAAATAGGAATTCAAAATATGTCTGATATGTTTTTCTTCCCCAAATAAAAGTCGTGACTGTGATGATTGAAAAATATTTTCATGTTAATGTATGGTAGTCCAAGATAAAAATAAATACTATGTAGTATCATGTTACACCTATTTTGGGAAGAGAAACATAATATTTCTATTTTGAAATTTCAAAATCAGTTTACTCATATTTTGAGAAAAATCCCATACAATTATTATACAAATAAATGTACTTTAATAAATTCTGCGTAATTATCATATAGTTAAAGATTAAGAGCTTGAACTTTAAGTATTAGTTATTTCATACATGTTTGTTTGCTTTGAGCTGGTGAGTAAAGTGATGCATGTGATCATAATTCTTAGCTTGGGTTCAAATAAATGTCAAAACAATAAGCTTTTATTGATTTGGGTTTATATATGATAGGGAGTATTTCTTACAATATTTATATGGTTGATTATGTGTGCATGGCAATTGGAAGTTTTTGAATGAACAAAGCTATATCAATTTTTTTATTTGTACTGAAACTTAAGGTCTAGTCTAGTTTGGCCAGATCTCATTTGGTATTGTGTGAAGTGGTCTGGTGTGGTCTAAATTGATTTGATAAATGTCAGGTTTTTGTGTAGTTTAAGTACAACTGTCAAAGTCTACTACGGTCTGGTTTGATTTGGTCTGGTCTGAACTGATTTGATTTGGTCTGAGATGGAAATTAAGTAAAAATATCCTTAATTTCCCTATAAAGGGCTGTTTTTACGTTTGAATAAATTTTTTTTTTTGGAAAAGGCGGCTTATATAGATAACAGAACATTCAGCGAGGCATAACAAAGATAAAGAAACCACTCCCAGCCATCAACCCTCGAACCAGCCGGAGAACCAATCACCCTAGACAGAGCAATATGATTCATTGATCCTATAATGGGTCTACATGAGCCTATCATGGCCAAAGCAAAATCCTCATCATCCCCACATAATGTAAGAGTTCGCAAGCAAAACAACAACAGAAACGGAAACAACCATGTTCTTGGAAACCAACAACCAAATAAAATAAATAAAAACGTGTAAATTATGCCGAATCTTGATCACCGCGAACAAGCTCCAACATCCTCCCTTTTCTACAGAAATTATCAGCCCTCTCGTTGGGTTTGGGAGCCCACAAAATTCTTCATGGTACGGAGGTGGTTCTGGAGGAGGACGAGTTCTACCAATGTTTATGCACTCTAGAAGAAAGCAGACAGAAATCTCTGACCAGACGCAGCTAGCCGCCAGAACATGAACATAAATCCTCACATCGAGAGACAAAGCACCCCAGAGCACCAGTGCCCGGGAAAGAACTGCCATAGAACAAAATCAAGACAAACAGAAGAGACTAACAATATCCAATTGGATCATACCTCTACTAAGAATCTCTAAGTGTTGATGTCACCATCGGATAGTTGGATCACTGCGTCACTGGATTGAGATACACAGACCGAGAAGATGAAAGTAAATGGGAGAAAGTTGAATAAATTGTTAAGTTGCTAATTCAATTTCGGAGTTGTTTTAATTACATTGTGATGCAAATTTTTGTTCAAAATTTATGAATAGCCGTGATCCTCCATAGTAGCACTAATCACCCTCCAAATTTATCCGGGTGTGGAAAATCGACATCACGGATTTCGATCTTCTGGGTGCTCAACTTTTATGAAAATGTTAATTTTTCGTTGTTTTCTAAAAAAAATCGTATTTTTCAAAATACGCTAAAATCTCCATTTTGTCAAACTCCAATAATGATATCAAAATATTCACATGTATCAAATCTGCCTATAATCATATACAAGAACTCATATCGAGTACAACCCAATGTATCAAGTGCAAACAATTTCATAGAATAATATTTACTTACATTTAGTACACATAAATACAGTTCAAAAAATGCACATAAAAACATTCAATATAATTACGAGGCAAAAAGTATAATTTTGGTTGACATGAAACTTTAATCAAACTCCAAACACTCCTAGTTAAATTCTTCTACTTTGCTCCTATACCAAATCGCCTTCTACTAAATTTAAATATCAATATATATCCTATCAACTTAGTAAAATTCCTCAACTCTTTATTTATAATTTCCTCCTCTTATGATTCAATTACTTAAATAATAAGTAATCTCTATAACAGTCCATCTACGTTTTCATTAATCATTAAATTATTATTTTAGCTTAATAAAAAGTCTAATTATAATAGTCAATTAATTTGTTTTATTAACTTAGAAATGACTAAAATATGACAAATTTGAAGGTGAATAATACAACCCATTACTAATATCAATATTCTTAAATATCCATTTTATAAAAATAATTTTTTATTATTATTATTTTTCTATTATTAATATTATAGTTATTTAGGCCAGCCCAAAAGTTCACCTGTCCACATCCTTACTTATGAGTTATGACCTATGTAGCACCGATACCGGTACGCGGAAACGTGGAAACGCGGAAACGGGTACGGGGATACGTCAAAACAAAAAAAAGTAGGATACGGATACGGGGCCATATTTATAAATATTAAAAGTTATGGGGGTGTATTTACAAATATTAAAAGTTATAGGGGTCTATTTATAAATATTAAAAATAGATTATTTTTTTGAATATATATATAAATATACACATATAATATCCTATGATGTCTACCCATTCATTGCATTGAATCATTTCCCTTTTTCAAGATATTTAATAATAAATTCATAATATTTCTCATGTACACTAGTGCATCTCGAAATATAAATGTAGTCAATAAGTCATTAATTTAAAATGAGAAATTAGTCAAACAAGTACAATCTTAAAATTAAAAGTGCAAGTACCCACTTCGAAGTATGTGTTAATGACTTAATTCGGATATAGTCATATAGGCCCATTATTTGATTACCAAGTAAAATGTAGTTTTAGGTTTTCATTTTTTTTTAGAATTTTATTAAGTAAATTTTGGGATTTTTTTTTAAAAGTTGATACGGGTATCCGTCAGGATACGAGTATCGGAAACTTTCAAAAAATTACAAAAAAAAATGGAAACTTTTAAAAATTACAGATACGGCCCGGGAACGTACGGTACGGGTATCCTAGAGTATCGGATACGGGGACGTATCCGATACGCCGATACGCTACCCTAGGGATGTATCCGTGCTTCATAGGTTATGACCAGCAGACCATTAAATTGGACTAGTTGGACCGTGTCCAATTTAAAAGAGAACCCAGTCCACAACCTTTAGCTTATGGCCCAAAGACTACCCGGTTCAAAGAAAGGAAACTTCAGCTAATAAAAAAACGTACTCTATGACGAACGTTTGTCATCTTCGTCAAGCAGCTAGCCGGACACAGGAAGACGGTAACAAACAGTGCCGACGGTCTCCTCCTCCAGCGTCGCATCCCCGTATAGAAGTAAAGAACCGAAGCTATGTCCTTATTATTGACTTATTGTATTTCAATATATTTACGTGTGTGTATCCTTCTGTATACAAAACGAAGTGGAAAGCCTGCCACTTTTCCCGCCCATTTTTTCGGGTCAAAATCGGGTCAAATAAATGGGATTCTCCAATTGCAAAGTAAATATTTGTTTAGTTCGATGCAAGATTCTCACATTGTGGTCAAACGAATCCATTGGGTGGTTGAGCATTTAATGAGGTGGTTGAGTGTTCAAGGTAATATTTCAATTTTCTTATAAATAGATTGAATCTCACCCTTCGAAACTCATGCTCACCTCACCATGGAAGCAAACACATAATCTACTAACGAAAAATGATAGGACATTGTACTCCATGATAAGGGAGGTTGACCACACCAGATCAATTCCAACATGGGCTCTAAAAGTACAAGTTGTGAGGACTTTTGAGATGCCTCATCAATGTAGAGGCCGTGAAAGAATGGAGACCATTTTTCATGATGAAGAGGTATCTTGACTTTATTCATTTTTTCCATTCCCTTTCGTTTTTCATTACTCCGTACATGTTATGGTGACAAGCATTATTTGTTTTGCGACTTATTGTCCTAAAAGGGACTAAATTATTCCTGAAATTCCAAAATGAGAGTAAGTATAATTTTTCCCCTAAATAGGACAGAATTACCCATCTACCCTTATTTATTCCTCTTTTCCTATGCCGGTTACACCTTACGCACATCTCCTCACTGCGCGACTTCTTCTCTCCCCAACGAATCATCTTCCCCATCCCCTCCCTACATCTTCTCTTCCTTCCCCTTTGCACAGCAACAACCAAACCAAGAAGCTCATAGCCATCTCCGCCGCTGATTCGAAGTCTGCCGTCATCACCGTTGCTGATTCGAAGTCTGCCGCCGTCACCGCCGCTGATTCGAAGTCTGCCGCCGTCACTGTCGGAGGTCTTCTTCTCTTCTTCGAAAGTCAATTTTTCTTCTCCGATTCTTATCCCCGTCCTTCCTCCCCTTGCTGCAGGTGCTCTATTTCTTCTTAGATTGGTAAAAAATGCCAAGTTCAACTATGAAATGCCATCAAAATGGCATTCTTATTCTACAAAAAATGTATTTTTCTTTGAAAAATGCCATTAAGATGACATTTTCAATTCATTTTGACATTTTGATAAAAATGTTGGCATTCTCGCCTGCAACAACCAGATCTACGATGCTAGAGGCCATATTTGCAGTTGTTGTTACTGGATTAGATTTAACAATGGCCGGATCTACAAAGACAGCGGTTGGCAACTGGAAAAGCTTGATTTGTCCAAATCTCCGGCGGCGGCGACCGTATCTTTAGCGGCGGCGGCCATATTTACAGTGGTGGTGGTCAGATCTGCAATGACGGGTGGTTTCAAGGTGGCGACAACGTCCGGCGACCGGTGGTGATCTGGTGTTCTGGTCGGCCATAGTTTGATTACCAAGCTTCAGGGTGTTTTTTGTCCATTTACAAATAATAACTCCTATTTAGGGAATTTTTAAACTTAAGTCCTGTTTTGGCAATTAAAGATGTAATTACTCCCGTTTAGGTAAATACCTCTTGTTTTGCCAATGTAGGGTGACAAGATCCATGCAGTAATTAAGAGGTCGTTTATGCATCTTTACAAATCAAGACTGGTGGAGAACAAATGCTTCAGGATCAAGAACTTCTTAGTGTTGGATAACTACTATACTTATAAAACCACTCTCCATCCTTACATTTTGGAATTTATCAAAAAAACAACAGTTTTTGACCACCGGTCAGAAAACTTTCCAAATTTTGTCAATAATTTTCACCGGCATGCTGCAGAGCCTAAGGGTGATAAATGACAAACTACTTATGGGTAATATTCGAATTTTTAAACATGCACGGTTGTGTTTTTTTTGTACTTTCATGATTAAACACTCCATAAAGTATAATACCAAGTATATACTTACACCTTAACCTATTATGCATACATATGTATGTCATTGACAAATTTGTGGGCAAAACCCCTGCACAAACGCATGTGATAAATGGCAAACCTGAACTACTCATTGAACTAATTCTGGAGGATCCTGAGTAAGTGGAACTCCATTAACTCTTTCCTCTTTACCTAAGTCTCAAGTGTTTAATGGTTTAATCAAATAATCTAATTCTATAGAGGTAACCGCGTCAGATGCACACTTTGGAACGACTATTGCAAAGCATTCTCTGATTTTCACGCATAGCACATGAACGAAGCTATATACTACCTCCGTCCCGTTGGAATGTTCCCGTTCGATTTACGATGCTTGACTGACAATAAAGCAACTCGATCCCTATTCACACTCCGCTTATTTTTAGTAAATAAAATTTACATATTCAGAAACTACATTAAAACCGCTACAAAGCCTGATCAAGAAAAGTTCAATTTGATAAAAATTTGATATATAAAGTAAAAGATTAGGAGTGACCTAAGTTGACCAATGAATAGTGAATTGACCAATGAATAGTGAACGGGAACATTCCAACGGGACGGAGGGAGTACATCATTCTCCAAATGGGAAGGCCTAACCAGTAACCACTATCAAGGTATACTTTTTCAAATGACAACACAGGCTTGGTGTTGGTGTCAACTTCGTACGACGTTTCTTAGTTGATCATGAACGGAAATACTTTGGAGTTCGAGGACTTGAAAGCACAGTACGTATTTTATAAGGAAGATCTTATTTGGATTATTTGACTTGGGCAATTAAGCTTTCTAATAGGATTATTTGAAACAAATCGAACTTTTGTTCTCTATTTGATTTGTATCAGCACTACTAGCGTGGGTTAGCCTCACTTTTTTAATACATGTATGACGTATTTCAAACGACTCTAAATTTACGAAGATAGTTTTCGTTTAAAGTTCAGCCATCTCATATATAGAAGTTCCGAGAGATCGCGACATATATACACTTATTTCGTTTTCTATTTTTTTCGGGGTGCGAATTGTAATTGGAATAATTTCAGTCCAAGTTCAGATCGGAGCTAATTTAAACATATCAAACCAGACAAAATCAGATCAAATATAAGAAATGTACCAAATAATAAGTACAGACTTTTTCAAACTAGACCTAAGTTGATCATATCATACCGATAAGACTAGACTAGAAAGTTTTAGTTTAATAAAACATCTTTGAGAAAAGTAAGGAAAAGGTTTTCAAAATTACCCAAATGATATGTAAATATTGTCATATTTCAAGATAATTGTTCTCCTCCAAATACGAGTAATGACTGTCATTTGATAGTACATCTAATTATGTCATAAATTAATATTTTCATATTTATGTTTGGTAATACTTAGAATATGGCAGTATGATTATATTCCGGAGTGACAACAATTTACTTTTTTTTTTAAAGTAACAATTTACTTCTAAAAATGGAAAAGATAAAACTTAATTTCATTTTAGAACATCATGTATAATCATATTTTGGAAAAATTTCCAAAATCTTTTGAATATTTACATACAGTGTTTTCCTAACTAAGATTCTGAGAACGGACAGCGATACAAAATTTGCCAAAAATTACGAGCACTTAATTGTTAATGCACAGGAAGAAAAAGGGAAAAAAAGGCATATACGATTATACGGAGTATAAAATAAGCTATGAGTCTATGATCGAGTCCCTGACTTTTCAAAAAAAGGTGGGGTATCTAGGGTAATTCGAAATACAGCCACGTTTTTACTATTCACAACCTCTTTTAAAACTTGATTAAAAAATACTTTTAATTCCTATTTTAACCTTTTGTTGATTTGAGATCGAATTGGGGATAAAGATGGGACCTGAGGTCCTGAACCTCACACGAAGAGATCAAAGGCCAAGGGCTGGGGAAAAGAGGAGCTGAATGAGATGGACCGGTCCAAAGCGGTGAATTGGCGGTTGTCCGGGTGTAAGAAGCGCACTTTGTTGGACTGAACGCAACTGGCCGTGACAAATTAGTTGAGGAAGATGTGGAAGGAGCTGATGATGGACGTTGAGAAGCTAAGGCGGAGGATGATATGAAGTACTACCTCCGTCCCCCTATGTTTGGGACAAAGAGGTGTGGTGGGATTATTAAGAAAAAGTAGATATGTGTGGTTAATATTAAATTGAATAGTGTAAGAATGAATTGTAGCCACCCAAACATTACCAAATATGGTATGTGACAAACTTAATGGATTGGACGAAAAAGGTGAAACGGGACAAACTTAGGGGGACGGAGGGAGTAGTTCATAAATATTCGAATCACCGGTCATGGCAGATTGGCGGTGGAGGAGTCATATTGCCGCCCTGGCTTGTCCGGTGGATGATGGCGCTGGTCAAAACGGAGAATGGAGAAACAAGCTAGTGTTGTTTTTGTGATGACTGTGGTAAAGGACTGCGGGAGTTGTGGCCACCGTTAATTACATCAATTTTATGTCAAAAGGGTATTTTGGAAATTTAATTGGTAGGGGGCTGTACATAGCAATTTGGTGTTTGTGAATAGAAACACCCAAAAGGGTGACATCTCATTTTTCATCGAAGGCCCAACTTAACATTGACCGAAGTTAACGAGAACTGAATTGGGAAGATATGAATTGAACTTCCATAACGAACTAGCTAGTTGAGATCAAATGTGACTATGGCTCAAGTAGTCAAGTATATGTGGAGAGATGAACGGACTTTTCAAAGATTTATGTATGTGTAGTATTAGACTATTAGTGTATGTGGCTGCTTAGATTTGCATCACGGCCATACCAACTCGTAAAGGACTTCGGAACTTCAGAATTAGCCTCTCGAGTCACGAGTATAATTTTATTATTCACCCACATCTCTAATCCTATTTATGAAGGGGATTTTATATCTTGTGACAACGTAACCTTTAATTTGTTAATGGATTCTAATGGTTTAAGTTCAATTTAAACAAAAAGTCAGAAAAGAAGTTCAATTTAAACAAAGCAAAATTAAATCTTCGTATCATTCAATAATCATCCAATAATACTTTGTTAATTGTTAATACTTCGTATCACAACTAAATCTTCCAAATAAATTTAATGAAATAATACCAGCATGCTATGCTCCAATAATCAGGTAAATTGTCTGGTGGCCACTAGCGCCAAATTAAATACCATCCCCGCCATAACTCATCATAAAAATATTCCGTATATTTAATTATAATATTTAATTATAATTTATATGAACACTCATATAGTAGAGACGGTCGATATTCTCTATTAATTAAGTCTACCATTTAATAATTAATTATAGCAATTTCAGTGAGTACCGTAATTCCAAGTCCCGCTTGCAACAATTATTTCTTAATTAAACCGTTGGAATAATAGGCCGTACTATACACTTCATATTCTATACTGTATATGTCATGTTCATATTCATGCTATAGCTACGCCTATAAGGTAAGAATTAATTTGTGGAGTATTTTAATTTTGATGGAAATGGCAATTACGATAATCCGTTTACATACGATAGCCGGTCAGGCGAGGGAAGTACTAGCCGCCAGCCAGAGCGAGATGGAGAAGAGGCGGAGGGGAAGTTCGGAAGGGGCACGTAGCGGTTAACTTCGTCGGAGAACGACCGGAGGGGAAGAAGCAACGGCTCGTTGTTCCAATATGGCATTTGAAGCACCCACTGTTCCAATATGGCATGCCACCGCCCCCGGGCCTGGCCGGTAACCTTCTTTTTAGAAGAGGTCGGCCAATCAAGGGGTGGGCACCGGGGAGGTTTGAGGGGCCTCGGCCCCTCAAGAAAAAAATGTACTGGCCTTGGGCCACATGATATCAAAGTTTTAAGTCCCACACTCCCGTCCATTCTAATCTACCATTTCTGTTACTTTTTAGTTTTTCTTTTCTACTCTTGTACATATGTTAAATGCAGCATGCAAATGTTTATGTATGTGATGGGCATTAGGGAGAATTACAGTTTACTTATGAAATTGAGATACAAATTTTGAACTTTGGCTCAATTATATTGTAAGTGCACTTTTACGTTTCCCAATTCCAGCGCCTGATTTGGTCCTATTTGTAAGTACGAAATGGTGACAACCGACAACTAGGGTGGTCAGGAATTGATCAACTTTTTTACATTTCGGTCTAATTTCTGTCATTTTTTCAACATAATTAAACATATACTCCCTCCGTCCCAAAATGGTTGGCCAATGTTGATCGAATTGCACGTGGATTAATAAAGTAAAAATTGTGTTGTTGAAATTTGTGCAGAGGAGAGAGAATTAACTTTAGCTACATATTGCTTACTTTAAATGGAAATGACCAACCTTTTTGGGACGGCCAAAAAAAGAAATTTGGCCAACCATTTTGGGACGGAGGGAGTATTTAGTTAGGTCAAAATGTGAAATAAGTGTGAACATTAATTTATCATACGTCTCCACAATAATGATTATTATCTAATGATAAACACGGTGGAGCCAAACTATGAGTTGCGATAATCGGTTTTTAATTTTTCCAATTTTAGCCCCTGATTATTGTGTTAGGGACATTTTTTGTCTTCAACTTCAAAATTTCTCACATTTATTTAGCCCCCTAAATGTTAACAAATTGAGACTTTTATTTAGTCATTCCACTATGAATCTGATACAATAAATGGAGGACTAAAGATGTCATTATTATAATCGTTAAAGGACTAAATTAAGTATCATTTTTATGAAAATCGGAGGACTAAATATGAAAATTTTCAAAGACGGGTACTAAAAATGTCCCTAGCGCAATATAATAGTCGAGGACTAAAAGTGAAAAAATAAGTCGGAGAAGAGAAAAAGTGGCAAAACTCCCAAACTAGGGACAATTGTGGTTAGTGAATTAAACATGCAAGTTTGTTCGCAGTTTGTATGAAATAATCCATAACCACAAACACAAAATCCCTATAAAAGATATAATTGGTCAGAGACAGATGGCCAGCTTAATTCAAAATCAAATTGGTCTAGTATTGGTCTAGTATTAGAACATCCACATTTGAAGACACTTATCTCATATTCCATTTCCTCCACTTCAATCTCATCATCCATCTATTTATTAAACTTCATTTTTAATTAAATCACTCATATACTTACCTAATTTTTAACAATGATGGGCTTGCCCATTTCATCGCTCCCTATTCACTTTTTAATGTACTAAAATATTCTCATATTTATATATTAAAATATTGATTTTTATTAGTATATCTAGCTAGTAATCATCATGTTACATTAATTTTGATCATACATTTTTTTACTCAATGTGATGATTATTAATTTCATAAGATAAAATATATTTATGCATGTAACATTCAACAATTAATTGAAGTTATTGTGATTAGAATAAATAAATAAATAAATAAATTTAGAAATATATGGACATCTATAGAAAAACATGGGACTCATTGGGAGGGTTAAAAACATGGCAGGGATTGGACTTATTACGTATTAAAAGTTTTATCAAGATTACCAAGAATATGATTAATTATAAATCCTATGGATTGTAAGGAATTGCTCAAAATTCCAAAGGCTAGACTATTCCTGGTTTCAACAATTGCTAAAAGTTTTTTAAGGGTTGTCAACAATTGTCGAAGGTTGTTAATAATTTGACTTGTCCAAGTTTATTTTACATTCCGAAACCTACGAGATAAAGTGCATTATACAACATTATTGTTGGTCTTATGGGAGATCAGCACCACCCTTTGATTCAGGGCTTAACCGCCCAACCGGCACCACGAAGTGGTGCAGCCCCTCATGTCCATCCACCGCTCAGTAGTGGGGCTCTGCACTGCCGTAGTGAACTGTGGGGGGTGCCCCACAGGAATCTACCTTGACTTGGGGACTACAGAGTAATGGGTTAAATAGAGGGTGTCCACTTCCTTATCACCAATTGGTTTTAAGAAAGATATGGCTGCTATTTAACCACAGAACTCTGGAGTTAAGCGAGCCCGGGGTAAGAAAGCCCAAGAATGGGTGACCCACTGGGAAGTTTGTCGACAGGGGTGAATCGATCCAACAAGTGGTATCAGAGCGAGGTCACAGGTGAATCTCTCGGCTGGTGCTGGGGGGGTGATTGTTGGTCTTATGGGAGATCAGCACCACCCTTTGATTCAGGGCTTAACCGCCCAACCTGTTGGCACCACGAAGTGGTGCAGCCCCTCATGTCCATCCACCGCTCAGTAGTGGGGCTCTGCACTGCCGTAGTGAACTGTGGGGGGTGCCCCACAGGAATCTACCTTGACTTGGGGACTACAGAGTAATGGGTTAAATAGAGGGTGTCCACTTCCTTATCACCAATTGGTTTTAAGAAAGATATGGCTGCTATTTAACCACAGAACTCTGGAGTTAAGCGAGCCCGGGGTAAGAAAGCCCAAGAATGGGTGACCCACTGGGAAGTTTGTCGACAGGGGTGAATCGATCCAACAATTATAAAGCAAGCTAAGACTAAAAGGGTAACAGAATTGAATATAGTCATTAAGTCAAGAGACTCAAAACGAAACAAAGAGTGATAGTTTATTGACAAAACAACATCAGAGCGTACATGTGCATCTAATGAGCCCAAAATCAACTACACATGACATCAATACATGAGTTCAAGCTATACGATAAAGAAATGGGAAATTCTATTCACAGCCACATTTTTTCTAAATACAACCACATATTTTCCATTGTTCCTATTATGCCCTTATTAATATCCAACTTAATATAGCTCCTCGTATACAATTCACGTTTGTTATCTGCCACAACCGAGAAATCTGGACTACCAACGGATCGGGTGGTGAAATTGATCCTCCTAACTCTTCTTTATTTTCATCTTCTTTATCATAGAATGACGACGCCCATTGACAACCTGTTTAGTGAGAACCGGGCATAAAAGTTAGCGTATTTAATCTCCACCAAACTCTACAATTTTTAAGAAAGAACTTAGCTTGATTGAGAGAGATCCAAACCTTTTTTAATTTTTACCTATCTACTTTCTTCTACTGATATGCTTATTTGTTTTATTATTGTTTGACCGTAGCACAATGAGGCAGAAGAGTCAAACACTCTGTTTCATGCCAATATACTCTCTGTTAGTTTACGCATCTTTATTCTCCTCTTTGAGGCATATAAGCAACATTGGAAGAAGACCAAAGTAACATTGAAGCTCCTGGAGGCTGTCTTGGGGAACCATGGAAAAAAAAGTGACCAGAAGCCATGGAACAAAAGTAAATTTTGGGGAAGCAGTAGAATTTTTGGATAGTTGCAAAAGGGGATAAGCTGGGGTTAGAGATGGATATCTTCCGGTGGGCAGAGATGATAGAAGTTGCGGCATCGTATGGTTCCTTCTTTATCACAGTAACGTGATTTGCCACAGGGGAGGTTGCGTTAAGTTCTGGAGGCTGTGTTAAGTTGCGTATTATCCAGGGGATAGAAAATATTGAAAATATGTGGCCCTATATTTAGTAAAAGTGTGGCTATGAATAGAATCACCCTAAAAAAATTAAATCTTGCTTTAAAAAGTAGCGATGATTTAAAGAGTGAAAAAAGAAGAATTATGTGGGCTTAAAGTTATTTAATGGTGGTTTGTTTTATAGTAATTGTCCTATATAGGATTAAAAGTAAACTTAAATGCAAAAATAGGATCATATCTTTTTTATTCTCTAAATAGGACTCCGGATTACGATAATACCCTCATATATAATAATACCTCAAACCCTAAAATTGCATCGATCGTTTCTTTCCCTGCGCCAAAGCCTCTCACCCAGCCCCTCTTTCCATGCGTTAAACCCAACGTTTATTCACCGCCTCCGCCGTGTCGATTGCCGCTGCTTCTCAATGACTGACTTTTCGATCGTTTCTTTCGTTACCGGCTCCACCATCTGTGATTGACTGGCTTTTCAGTTTTTGCACGAATTTGAGGTTCATTTTTTTTTACTTTCTTCTCCTTCTATCTTCGATCTACTTCTTCTACTCGTTCTCTTCTTCTCCTTCTTCCCCTCCTTTTCTTTGTTTAAAATCTGATTTTCGTCCGCCAAAATAATGAAATTTTGGGTTTTGGGGATTTTGATATGTCTGATTTTGAACATTGCCTTCGGAATTCTAGATCTGATTTCAATGAAGTTTCTGATATAGTTTTTTTTTAACTTTTTTTTACACTGGCTTCATTTTTTTGCCATTTTTTGGCAGTTTGCTCAATTCTTCCAATTGTATAACGGCATAAAAACTCCTATTTCTTATGGCTTCATTTTTTTGCCAATTCACTACAAGAAAAATGCTTTTGGGCAACAACTAAATAAAGTATGGACAACAAAAAAGTATTCCGTTGCACATAGATGGAATCTTGTGTGATTAATATTTATTTGTTGCCTTTGTTCTATGTTTTGGCGATAAATCAGGCTGAACGTCTCACAAATAAAATTTTGGCGACTGATTCTAAATTTTGTGGTCCATTGTTATAAAATGTGCAACGAATACGAAATACAGTCGGTCCAATTTTTAAAAACACCGACTGGAAGTTAGGGGTGGGTGTGGTCCGGAACAGTCCGGTAAACTAGTAAAATCCGTAATGTATCCGTTAGGTTTTTGATTGTCCGGTACGGTCCGGTTTCAATGATGAAACCGTTTGGTACCATGTCTTTTCGGAACGGTACAAAACGGTACGGTACAATGCCAAACACATGCTAAAAAATTTGAACAAATCTTGCAATTAGTAGATATCTTAACACCATCCAACTCAAATGAAATGTTGATATAAATACAAGAAATTGCATATGTAGTACTAGAGTTCACAAATACACAAATAGTGCAACACAACTAAAAAAAGTATAACAAAAAGATGACGCACGAGATGAATATCATCTTTAATTTACTAAGTTCATGTGAAAATATAAAAAAGAATATCATCAAATTGTTGAATATAATAGAAATTTTCGATGTTCTTCTTCATTCTAGGTTAAATATTTCTAATTTAATTTATAGTTGAAATTTGAGAGCTAAAATTTAAACCATAATAATTAAGTTGTAAAATTGCGCAAACATGATACTACAAAAATTCATGTACACTACATTGCTAGAAATGAATAGTCCTTAATGATTTCTAAAATTTTAATATTCTTTCAGTACATATCAAAATATAACATAAATTATCTAAAAAGAAAAAATAACAATATATATAATCTAAACACACACATTTAGTTAGTTTAGGAACGCATGAATACATACTTGGACTATAAAATTGTTTGTCTATAAAAGAGATCTATTGGTATAGAAAAATTATAAAAAATTCAAATGCATTATTTTCAAACGGTTCGGTCCGATATTTTTCGGTTCTCAAAATATAAGACCGGTCCCGTACCCGTTTCAAACGGTTCGGTTTCGGTACGGGATAAAAATCTATAGAACCGTTTAAATACTCGGTATTCGGTTCGGTACCATTACGGGACGGTTCGGTACCGGTACGGTTCGGGTTTTATGCCCACCCCTAGTGGAACTTATTAAGAGACCCGATTTGAAATGTAATGTGGCAACTGCTTCCCAAATGTTACTTCCATCTTTCTATTTTTTAGTGTGAACTGAACTGATCACTCAAATCTAGTTGACTGATCCAGTGGGGCATCATCAGTAATTCTGTTTGTGCCATTTTCATTAGAGGGAACCATAGATGCAAAATTTGAAACAGATTTCCCACTCATTGATGGAACACTCTCTCATTCAGAACATCTTTTTTCTCAGTTTCATTTTCAGGGACAGCTTATTGTTGGGCCCGGAAATTACTTAGCAAATTGGGCCAACATATTTTCCAAGAAGTAGCGAGAAGCCCAGCGGGATGGTCAATGCACAATCCAACTAAAAACGGAAAGAATACTTGAAAGAAAGGGAAGTCCAAGACTTGGGAAAAAAGGCTCCTACTTTCCATTTATTCATGCCTGCCAAAGGAAAGAATAAGAAGATCCGTTAGTATCTCCTAAATATGGGCAGCAAGCATATCATAGAAGAGGAGATATTTTATGTAATCAAATCATTATTTTCCTCCCTTATTTATCTCATAAGCTCTTGTATAAATTGCCTTGGGCAATACGTGAAAGGGGGAGAAAAACACACGTTCAAGACACCAAGAAGCACCACCACTCCTTATTAGAAATTTCTTCCATATCCAATTGTATTTATTCTTAATAAAATTATTATCGATTCATATTTGCTCGATTCCCGATTAATTCATATTTAGTTTAGCATATTTTGGCTAAAACAATTTGGCGCCGTCTGTGGGAAACTCGTGCAAAAAAGAGTCGCTCATGGCCGAAAGCTCTAACGCTTTGATGGAGGATATTAAAGCTCAATTGCAAGCCGTCAGGGAAGAGTTGCGCCTAGCCAGGACCTCTAATCCTTCGGCGGACGGTTTTCAGGCACAAATGGAGGCTGTGAGAGAGGAAATGCGTCAACGCATGGCCTTCCTTCAAAAAGAGAATGACGCCTTACGATCTCAGGTACAATCGGTGGCGTCCATAGCCTCCAACTCGCGACGAGGAAAAGAGATCATGTATGCGGCTTCAAGGTGGGACACGGACCCAATACCGGCCTCAACCTCGACACTTACCTTCACAACCGAGTCTTTTCCGGAAATGTTGAACTCCGATCCGAATGGTGGTTTGTACTCCCCGGTGATTTCACAACTCGTGCCCTACGAACCTCTTATCCTGGAGACGAATCCAGCGACGAGTATCCCGATGTGTTTCTTCCCAGATTCGTTGCGAACCAGGCCACCGACGACATCTGGTTTGCAGATCGTCAACCAGCAGATGTCGACTCCTACCACCGTGTTAGCACCAACGGTGCCTTTCGTCCCTCACTCCGGAACCACTACATCAGGAGGAGCAGGACCATCATCTCGTTCTGCCCCACTCCCAAATCCCAGAAGAAACATATTCCGGAATTCATTTACGAAATCCCAGAAACGACAAGTTCCCGGCCGTGACGACATGTGTGGAGGTGTCGACATCGGCAATCAGAGACGTCAACATCCGGAGGTCGTCACCATACAGTCACCAACCGAGCAGAGGACACCTCAGGCAGCAACACACCCCGAAGTGGTACGTCCGCAGATACAAACAAACATGACAGATCCCTTCGCCGTCATCATGGAGGAACTGAGGGAATTGCGAGAGAAGGTCAACAGCATACCTGGAGTCCCACGTGCACTTGACGTGGCGACGCAAACCTGTTATGCGGATTCACCCTTCGGACGACATATTACAGACGTCGAGATTCCAAGGAAATTCATCGTACCATCAATGAAGTTGTTCGACGGAACCGCCGATCCGGTAGAACATGTTGCTCAGTACAAGCAAAAAATGTTAGCCATTTTAGTCAGACCGGATCAGCGAGAAGCTTGCATGTGCAGGGCATTTGGGACAACGTTGACAGGGCCAGCGTTGACGTGGTTCGTCAATCTGCCAAACGACGGCATCAATTCGTTCGCGGAGCTGGTCAACTTATTCAATCAACAGTTTGCAAGCAGTCGAGTCTTGGAGAAGCGGACTAGTGATCTCTATCGAGTAGTCCAGGGACACAATGAATCCTTAAGGGATTACTTGCACCGATTCAACAAGGAGAAGGTGTCAATCCCTAGGTGTCACATACCGACAACAATTGAAGCATTTAGAATAGGACTGCTGGAAGATTCAGAGTTATATATCAGGAGTTGACGAAATACCCTAGTCGGTCTTTCGAAGATGTCCAAGCAAAAGCACTGGCTTTCATCCGTCTAGAAGAAGATTTACGATGTCGTCACGGACAAATTGAGCAGGAAAGGGGGTACGGGAAGTCAAAATCTCCCAGGAGACATGACTACAAGCATGGAAAGCCTTATTCGAGGTCTGAGGAACAAGTCGCCACTTATGTGACAAGATAGATCGAACGACTTAATTAAATTCGTCGGACGGGGGGGCATGTCGTTCGACGGTAGACAGGTTCTTAAGAGCTGCAATACGGTACACTTAAAGTTGTTTCACTTTTAATAATTTTCTTTTGCATATTGTCATCACTCCCATGATAAAATAGACCAGACGACATGAATGAAGTCGTCATACTGGGGGCATGTCGTCAGGCAGTGAACCTGACGAGATGGTTGGAATCGCCTGACTACAGACGGGCTATTACGATAGATATTTATCTAGTTTCATATGTGTATTCTTAACTCACTACTTTCCTTTACCTATAAATGATCACTAACTTAAGCATCGGAGGGCCGTTGGCTTTTAGCCAATGGTCGACGTTAGCGAATTCCTTTTTACACAGGTACAATCAACAATTGATGACGACGGAATTCTAACATACAAAGCCTTACAACACGTCAAAACACAATTGACGGGGGGCTTACATCAAACAAAGCCTTACAACACACCAAAATACAATTGACGGGGGGCTTACAGAATTTAATGGGAAGGGTTAGGCTGCCCATGAGAATATCATGGATCACAGTCCTAACAGAGCCCATACAATACGTTTTGGCCAAAACCTACACACGTATACGACAACACAAACTCCAAAACATAAGGAGACAACACGGACGACATGACATTCATGTCAACGACACATACGTAAATCATAGACAATCATGACAACGATATTAACAAAATCATAAACGAAACGATATTCAAGGTTTTTGCAGGTTTTTGGTCACGTTCAAGCAACCCGATTCGTCGTCTCCAGCAACGGACAAATTTCCCTGCACCGACCAGGATGTCGACACCTGCCAGGACAAAGTTCGAACTCATCAGCATTGTCTAGATATGATCACTAGCACAACTCCGGAAGAAAAGGAAACGAGTGAGTAAATCGAAGTGGAATGTTAGCCAAGAGTTCAAATTCATAATGACGACATTCTTCTAGCGCATCCGCCATCATCATGAATTGGGGGCAATTGTTGGGCCCGGAAATTACTTAGCAAATTGGGCCAACATATTTTCCAAGAAGCAGCGAGAAGCCCAGCGGGATGGTCAATGCACAATCCAACTAAAAACGGAAAGAATACTTGAAAGAAAGGGAAGTCCAAGACTTGGGGAAAAAGGCTCCTACTTTCCATTTATTCATGCCTGCCAAAGGAAAGAATAAGAAGATCCGTTAGTATCTCCTAAATATGGGCAGCAAGCATATCATAGAAGAGGAGATATTTTATGTAATCAAATCATTATTTTCCTCCCTTATTTATCTCATAAGCTCTTGTATAAATTGCCTTGGGCAATACGTGAAAGGGGGAGAAAAACACACGTTCAAGACACCAAGAAGCACCACCACTCCTTATTAGAAATTTCTTCCATATCCAATTGTATTTATTCTTAATAAAATTATTATCGATTCATATTTGCTCGATTCCCGATTAATTCATATTTAGTTTAGCATATTTTGGCTAAAACACTTATTCAATTCTTTAAGACCGACATTGTGGGTGGGTTCATTTTTAGCTTGAGTAAGATCGTTGGTCAGGTTTTCTTCTTGCTTGTGAGCTACAACAAATGAATTTAAAGCCTACTGTTATAAGCTGATTTACATACATAAATGATTTTAAATTCTCTTTTTTTACAATATCATTTACACTACTCTTATTATTATTTCTTGGACCGTATGCATAGGTGATGATCACAACCAGTGGCGGAGGGAGGGGTGGCCAGGCTGGGCCCTGGCCCAGGGCATTTTTTATTTTATTTTATGTTATATATATTATTTAAATGTTTTTTAGAAATGGGCCCAGTCCAAAAATAAAACTTGCCCAGGGTAGAAAGGCCCAATTCAAAAAAAAATCCACCTTTAATTGTAGCTCCCGTAATCGCCCAGCCCCTTGGCAGCAGGTAAGATTTTTATTTTACTCCGTAATTTAAGTAGCTAATTCTCCATGGCTTGGAAGTTGGAATCGTGATTCTTGAGATGGAGTGTTGGGCTCTTTTACGTATACCAGTTTTAACAATGTAAAATGTGAATTTCTTCTAGTTTTGGTGAATAATTTTTGTCTTGTGTATTCATTTGTGAAAATGAAAATGAGGATTCTGTTTTTTAACACACTACTATGAATAATGTGATTCAAAATAATATATTGGTTATTTTATTAATTGTTGTCATTTATTCTTCTAGTTTCTTCTAGTTTTGGTGAATAATTTTATTGTTGGTTATTTTAATAATTGAGCAAGATCCGGGAAAACGGAAAAAAGACGGGGTACAAGTCATCAAACAGACATGGACTAGCGAAAGAAAACGGGGTATAAAGATGAGATTAATATAAGCTAATAGTTTTCATTTAGCCTAAATTTTTTATATGGTGTTTTTAGTTTACAACCGGCCCAGCCTGAACCCTCATCCTGGCTCCGCCCCTGATCACAACTGAACTAGAGATGCAGATCTCATCTCATTGTGATGTTTCCTCAAGGTATAATTATTTTTCTGTTTTCACATCACTATATGTGTCTCACCTCATACACATACACATGTATGTATATCCATTACATGGGTGCTAATCAGAGATGCAAATCAAAGGCACTAGAGAGTTAATTGTCCAATTGAATCATGATTGACCATTTGTGTTGGTCCTGTTGGACATTTTCCCACCATTAAGAATGTGGAGATTAATCTCATTTAATCTTTTCTATCTTTTTATCTTTTTTTATCTATCTTATGCTCCTTAACTAGCTTTTTTACTTTACTTATTTATGGTTTGCTAACATACAAATTCAAAATCAAAATATGCATATCTTGTTTTTGCATTAATAATACTCTCATTAATGCATATTAATACACATTCTTGACTAATATGCTTCGGTAAAGTTAAGTTTTGTTAACTTTCAAATGATGATAAGATACTTGAACCATATCTTAACTCCCGCCTTGAAAAATGCAGATAGAGGAAAGAACCATTGATCTACCGTCTACGGTGTATGGAAATGGCAGATCAGAAAATTGAATTGCTAGCCAATTTTGAAGAGGTAAATTAATAGATTAACTAATATTCTTTTTCTGTTATCATCAATTTGAGTTTATTCAAACCATTAAATTTGGTGATGATTTAAATAGTACCCAGTTTTTTCATTTTCAAGTAGGTCATTATACAATTGAGTACCATTGTATTTTCTATCATTTGACTCATCCTATGTATTTTAAGAGATAAAACGAGTGAATACTTGTTACACAGCTCTTGTCTGATTGAAGAATAGCGAATAGAACAGGGAACTGTTGGCTATGTAGTTAATAAAAGATCATTTCAAATTATAAATTTAGTTTCCATTTTGCTTTCTATCATTTTTATAGAGCTTTGTTTGGTTCTTAAAAAGATAAAATATCTAAATTATTGTTTTGCAAATATAGATAGTATGTTACAGAGCAAATATTAGATAGGCAGCATTTGATTTTTTTCTTGTTGTATTTATTATTTGTTCTAGTAAATCGCTTTTTATATTGTTTGACACTACTTTTAATACTCTAAACTAAATTTTGTATTATTTTACAGGAGGATTGTATGACGGATGGTGTTTGCTTATAACAGAGATACTCATACTTCACAGGACAGAAGATATATTTGTAGTGTGTCGTTGGCTCGTTGCCTCGGGATTTCTATTTAGCTTGTGGATGGATTTGTATTGGGTTTAATGTTAGAAACAAATATATGTAAATTGACCGGTAAATTGATTTTTGTTAGCTGACCCATTTTTTTAGGGATTAAGACTTGATATTGTTGTAGAATATATATGTAAATTTAAGATATTGAAGCTTGATTGGTAACAAAACGATCTAAGGTGTGTATTATGTATTTCTGTGGTGTAAAAGCATTTAGTCTAAAGAATGGGTAAAATAAAAGAAAATGTAGTTTGGGCAACGAGTGGTTTTACTTCCACCTAAAAGACTCATGTGCAACGAATTAATTAGATACGTAGCTAATATTTTGTGCTACGATGGGCTAACTTTAATTGCACATGAGACACATGTGCAACCTTATTGTGTGACGCACAAATTTAGGCTTGGACCCGGTTCGGGCCACCCGGCCTGGGAACCAGCCCCGGGCTACTGTGCGGGCCCGGCCTGGGAACCAGGTACCGTTTCCGGGTCTAGGCCCGGTTTAGGGGAGGTAACCGGGGCGGGTACAGGTCTGGGGAATATGGAACCGGCCCGGCCGGTTCGGGCTTTATTCTTTTTTTTGTTTTTAATTTTTTTTAACTTTCCGGGTTGGGCTGGGTATTTTGGGCCATTTGGGCTGGTTTGGAGGGGGCTCCATGCCTACACAAATTACACTTGGGGCTACAAATATTAATCTCGTCACATAAAATATTATGCGCCACCATGCTTGGGCAATGACCTCGTGACGAGTATGATTTTGTTGTACAAATGATTGTGTGACGAAATATGTATTTTGGGCAACAAAGAAATTCGTTGCCCAAACTTATTTTTCTTGTAGTGATTTTTTGGCAGTTTTGCCCAATTCTTCCAATTGTGTAATGGCAGTAAAACTCGTGTTCTTTGACATCGAGTTGAACATATTGTCAAGTCTATGGCAGATTGGACAAGATGTCAATGTTATTTTTCCAAGAAATTGCCAAATATTATGGAAAAAACTGCCAATATTGTGTTATATTTTTGTTCAAGATGGCAGAATTATCTCATTTTTATGTTGTGAATGAAATGGCATTTTTTTGCAGATGATAGTTTGGGGCGGTCCTACAGCGATGCTTGCTTTGCGGCGGCGGGAGCGTTGGAGGGAGACGGCAGCGGCAGCGTCGGAGGGCGGCGGCAGCGCAAAGTCGGAGGCACTGGAGGGCGCTGGCAGATCTCTTGTTGGATGACGGAAGCTTTTTGTTTTTCTATTTTGTATTAAAAATAAACCTATTAAGGGTAATTTTGTCCAGTGAGTTGTTTTTTAGTCCTATTAAACATGGCAGTCCTATTTGTGCATTTCAACATTGTTTATGTCCTATTTAGGGAATTAACTTGTTTGTTTTTCTAGGTAAGTAAATAACTTCAATATGTTTCCTTGGCTGAAACTAGAATCAATATTGTGGTGTAAAAGTGATATCTAAATGAGTTACACTTAATGATCATCAAAGCAAAACAAATAATTTAATCATATCACAGTTGGACTTAGCTCTGATACCGTCAAACATCATGTTCCATCCTGGAACATGATAAGTAAATCATCATATAATAATAATTTAATAGTTTATATCTTATCAATTTGGGGTAACTTTAACACAAAGTTACACCCTTGAATGGGTCACCAATTTCCTATTTTGCATGTTTTGAGAAGTTTACCCTTCAGTGGGCAAATTCATTAATCATTTCTCAAAATCCAACTCTATTAAATTCCATAATTTACATCACATGCAGGAAGCTGATGCTGATCATCATGAAGACCCCAGTGAGGTAGTTGATGATGACATAGATCATTCCTCCGGAAGTGATGGTTCTGACGATGACAACGCAGTCGGAGTGAATGACCAGGTCCAGTTTGTTGAGGATGGTGAGGATGACAAGGTTGGTGGGGAAGAAGGCGAGGAAGGAATTATAGTTGTAGCAGCCCCCGAGTATCGCCTTATCCCCGTCTATCGAGAGGGGTAGAAAGCAAGGTGGGAGACGTTGTCTTGTATAGCAACGTTCAGGGATATACCAGATCTGCGCGGCTGGTTGCAATTACCGTTGGAGAGGAGGGCGCACAACACCACACACCCATTGTGTTGTGGCCACTACGCGACTCCACGGTCACATACAATGATGGGATGGGCAGTGCCATTGACGTTTTAGAGACGGAGTGGCACACGTTCTTCATGACTGTAGAGTACATCATATGTCGCGCTCGTTAGCCCGAGGATGAGGTCCACCCGATAGCTGTGTGGTACTTCAGAGCAGATGGGGAGATCGTAGAGACGTCGATCATCTCACGATACATACGACATCGGCAGCACCTGGTCCATGTCATACACATGATGTTCTGTGTGTTGCGCGGATTGGAGCCACTCGATCATCCTCAGGTTGATGATATGACGGTTGACCTGATTGACGTTGATAACGAGTATTTGGACGGAGATCATCACGAGGTACTTATTGACCTCCGCGCGGATATACCTTCCTCATCTGACGACGATGAGTTGGGAGGTATCTCCAACCCACCACGGAGGGTGATGTTGGACACCGACCATGACATTCACAGTATTTTTGTTATACGTATAGTTTAGAGTACATTTGTTGTGATATTATAACTCTCATATTAGATTACATTTTTGACGTTATCCACCTCTTTATTTTTTAATTGCGTTTTAACTTGCTCACTAATAAAAAAGAACTCATGCACATCGAGTAATGCTCAACCAAAATTATCTCATATCTAAAATCAAAA